AAAGGCCAGGATTGTTACCCCCATTTTGACAGAAATAAAAAAAAAAAAAAAAAAACAGGCTCAGAAATGAGATTTTAGGTCTCCAGTCACAAAATGAGTTGGAAACAGCATAAGGCAGAGCGGTTTACAAAAGTTGGGAGTTGCTATTATTACTATTGTCTCACCAACCATCCTTCTCCATCCAGTAGCCCTTGGGCCACTTCTCTGTAGCTGTGTCTCTTCCATGGGGTCCTGGACCTCTTGGCATCCTGCCCCCTCTGCTCCGCAAGCCCTCTGTCCCTCCCTTCAGGTCCCCTGGGAGGCTGCTGGGCTGGCGGCCGAAGCGGGGGTGGGGGGGGGCACCCTTCTTGGCATGCCTTGTTTCAGACATACGGGCCCTGCCGCCCAGCGGGCCGAGCTGGGAGCTGGACGTGAATGCCCTGGCTGAGTGCTTCAGGGGTTAAAGGAGGCGGCGGACAGACTGCTGGCCGGCTCCGGGAAGGGGGAAGGAGGAGGCGGTGCGCTGATAGCCTGCCCGCCTCCACTGCCAGGGGAGGGAGCCTGGCGAGCTGCACCCTCGCTCAGTTCCCAGCAGGGGCCCTGGGACCTGCTCTGCCCCCTGCGCCAGCTCCCTGCCTGGACACAAGGCTCACTCACGCCCTCCTCTCAGCAACTAGCTTCTTGCCAGCCACAGCTGCTGCCCCATCACTGCCCACCGCTGCCCCCCGTCCTGTGAGCCCAGACACCCATCCCACCCGGTGGCTCCTCTGCCGGAAAGGTGAGTGTGGGGTGTGTGTGTGTGTGTGTGTGTGTGTGTGTGTGGCGGGCTGCCGGCACTGGTGCTGTGAGGACCACCAGTGGGGCATAAATTAGAGGGGAGAGGTCAGTCTGCCTGGTCACGTGCCTCTGGGCCAGGTAGCCCCTCCAGGCCAACATGTCAGTCCCCTGCCGCCGTCAGTGTCTGGTTCTGGCAGGGATGTCTGGGGCGCGGTTGTCCCTGCTCGGAGAGAGACCAGTCGCAAGGAGTTTTGTTTGCTGGGGAAGTTGCTGGTGTCAGTGGCTGCTTAAGACCGAGGCCAGCAGGGACGAGTGGGGAGGGACACACTGAGCAAGGCAGGGGGGAGGTTGGGGCATTTAGTCTCCAGGGTCCCTTCCCTTGCCTGCGTGCTGTCGCAGGGCTGCCTGGGGGCGAGGACCGCGACACAGGCATGGGCAGTTTTTCCTCTCCATTTCTTGCCCTGCCACGGGCGGGAGCTGTTACTGAGCACCTTCTTGCTCCTTGGGGCTCTTCTTGCTTCCGCGCCTCGTCTCCCAGGGGCAGCCACGTCTGCGAATGAGGGTCTGGCAGGCTCAAAAAGGTTTCACACTTCATCCCCCTCAGCGTGGGTCCGAGCTCCCTTGCCCATGGGCACAGCCTGGCATGAGTGCCCCCTGCCGCCCTCCCCCAGCCAGCAGCTCCGACTCCCTTCTCACCCCTCTGGGTAGAGATAGCTAATCCAGGCGGTTAATGAACAGACACAACGCAGCTGCCTTTCACCCCCTGCTCCTCCCTCTCTCCCCACCGTTCTCTCCTGCCCTGACCCTCGGTCATGCCTGCCACCCCTTGCCAAGCCCAAGCACCCATACAGAGCTAACCTCAGTGTCTGCCCCCTACCCCCAGTTCAGGACCAGGGCCAGGACTGCCTCTCCAGATGTTTTTAGGTTGGGCACTCTCTTAGAAGAGGAAACTGGGAGGGTGGTGACCGAGGGGTGACCAAGAGAAGCCCGCTGTGCTCCCAAGCTGGGCTCCCTGCAGGGGGGTGGGATGGGATTAGGGGGGACGGGATGGGTGCTGGGTAGGGGAGGAGCTGGCTTGGGGAGGGCAGAACAGGCGGTTGTGGAGTGAGGCTTAGAGGGGCAGCTGGAGGTGAGGGTTCTAGAGCCTTTGGGGACAGGGGCTTCTCTTCTGGGAGCCCCAGCGTTCCTTCCATGTGGCAGAGCCAAGCCAGGGGTTTGGGAGGGTGTGGGGGGAGTACCCTTTTTCCTCGAGTCTCTGCTGGGCCCCTTCCTGCAGCTGCCTGGGTCGGGTGGGGACCACTGTGGCTCAGACTTGGCCTTAAGTTGCTCCCACCCCTGCCAGCTGGCGGCTACTCCAGTCTCCCCCACCCTCGCTCTCCCCCAGGACCTCAAAGCTTGCTAAGGCTAAGGCACCCTCTGCCCTGACCCCTCTGGCCTAGGAGAGTAGGAGGGAGGACCTGGACCTGGCTCTGGAGTGGGGAGCTGGCTGGGACAGCTCTCAATGGGATCAGTGCTGGGATCTCAGTGTGGGGTTGGCCTTGACTCTGCTGCCCGCAGAGGGCAGGGAGTGGAGACAGTGGGCCAGGGCCTAGGAGGGTCTCTCAGCCAGTCTAATAGGACTGGGAGCCAGAACTTTGAACTGAGAATTCTTGGGTGGCGGAGGAGGCAACCTGGGAACCTCTGCTTCCAAATCCTTGGCCTTGAACCCTTCTGGCTCTCCTTCCTGATCCTTCACCCCATGCTTCATCCTTCACTTCCCTCAAAGCCCCAGTTCAGAATCTCCCATGGGAGCTGCGGTGTCCAGAACTGTAAACACAGGGAGCTGGTGGCCAGGTTGGAGGGGAGCCGGGGTGGGGTGCAGAGGAGCTCAGAGAGGAGGTTACTCTTTGGTGACCATCTTCTCATTGCTGATGGACTGTGGCTGAAGCTTTGGAGTTTGGGAACTCTCAGTGCCCTGCTTCTACTGAAGCAAGAGTAGGAAGCAAAGGGGCAGAATGGATTTTAGTTTGGTCAAGGAAGCTCAGCTCGGTTTAACGAAGGGCTTCCTAACAAGCCTGGCGGGTCAGCAGGAGAAAGGGCTGCCTTGTAAGGTAGTGAGCTTCCCGTCTGGGGGTGGGGACTTCAGACAGAACTGGACAGCAGCTTGGAAGGATTCCTGAGTTGGGATGTGGTTAGAAGGGATGACCTTGAAGGTCTCTTGGGATGCTGAGGTCCTGGGATTCTTAGAGTCGGGGAATTCTCTGACACCCGGATCAGGGAGCAGGAAGGCAGTGGCCTCTGGCCTGGGGTGTGGGCACAGGCAGGACCTCTCAGGGTCCTTCTGCGCCCTGCCAACGCTCTGCCCTCACACCCATAGCTCACTGCCCCACTAGGTCTGCTTCCTGCGAGGATTTTGAGTTTCTTCCGATTCCTCTTGTCCCACTGTTTGCCTTGCCCGGCTGGTTAACCCCACAAGGGCTGGAGCAGACCTGTGGGCTCAGGGCACGGTGTAGGATGGAGGGGAGCCCTGCTCCCCTGCAGTCAGAGCCCACATCCCGCCCTGAGGTGCTAACTGGGGGCAGTAGGCAAGGAGGGGGGGGCTGTGCTCTGAAGGTGGGCAGCTTGAGCCCCTGTCCAGTTTGCCCCCCAAAAGGGGCCTCCCCAGCCTGCCTGGAAATGGTAGGCAGCGGAGCCAAGATCTGAGATGGGAAAAACACAGGGGCTGCACTTCTCTGAGCCTTGGTTTCCGAATTTGTAAAATAATACAGAGTAGTCAGGGCAGCTAGAGGTGGTTTGTGTAACTAACTGCTGGGGGTGCTAGCCAAGGGCGTAGTTCTGGTGCCTCTCTGGAGTGTGGGAGGAGCCGGCCACCTGCTCCCCGCCACTGGCCTCTCCAGACCTGTTTTCCAAGGTTGGGGTGGGGTGGGGGCTTGAGGGCAGAGAGGGGAGGCAGGGTAGGGGTGGGGTTCAAGATTTCTGAGCATCAAACCCTGGGAGACTTGGGCTTCCCTTGATGGGGTGTCAAGGTGGGCTTCTGGGGTGGGCTCTGGACCCACACTGGATGTCCCAGCCTGCCTCTCTCTGCAGCCCCTCCTCTCTGGATGCCCTGGGAGCCCTTTTCTCCTTAGTGGAGAGAGCGAAGGAGTAGGGTCCTGGTTTCAGCTGGGGATGAAGTCCCTTCTGATGTCTAACTTCAGTACCTGGGGACCAGATGAAGCTGCTCAGTTAGGATGTTTCTTCCTCTGGTGTGACAGGGACCCAATTGGAGGGGCAGGAAGGTGAGATGCTGAGTGTGCCCTTGAGCCTGGAGAAGTCAGGGTCGGAGCTGAGGTGGCCAGCAAAGGGTTTCAGGTGCAGCTGCTCCGGCTTCTTGGCTTATTTCTGGGGCCTTGAGTCTCTTTCACCCCAGAAAGGGAAACTGAGGCCCAGTCGAGGGATATGTATCGAAGGGGGCAGAGGAAAGCTCTCCCAGTTACTCGACTGAAAAAAAGCGAATCAGAAATGGGTTGGTGCTGCAGGAGGGAGGGAGGGATTTGGGGAGGCTGGAGGGACTTTTATCCCCAGCACCCGCCGCCCATGGCCCCGGTCTTGGCTTCCAAAGCTATTAGGCGTGCAGAGGTGTGGGCACCAGCAAGCTGGAACGAGGGTGGTGGCGGGGGGCAGGGCTGCCAGTCCTGTGGGCCACGCCGCCCCCCCACTGGGTGCCCCCTCTATTATGCATAGTCACATGCAGCCCTCCCCTCCTTCCTTCTCGCCAATCACCTGAAACACTTTCCCATGGTGGGGGGTGGGGCCGCAGAAGGTGCAGCTGGGTCCCTGGCCTGCCTCTAGCAAGGTTGGTGACCTTGGCCATCTTCCTACTTGTGCACACCTCGGTTTCCCTCAGGGAGGGTGGTTGGTGTCTGTGGGGTGTGGGGTGGTAGGTGGGCCCGAGGCCGTCCCTGGCGCTGCCAGTCCCAGTCCATCCTCCAGGGTTAGTCTGGGCTCTCTAATCCCTGCCTTTTTAGGGCTGCAAGCCTGTAGCTCAGGCCTGCGTGTTCCAGGAAGCAGAGAGGAACTGGCCCAGAAGGGCTGTGTCCTGGGGAGCTGATGGGGCATGAGGGGCTACAGGAGGGCCCAAGTGGAATCCTTTCTGCCATTATGGGGCGGGGGTCCCAGGCCTAGGTCAGGTCCCCCAGGAGACTTCCTAGGCCTTCTCCAGCAGAGAATATGGGACCCCTCGGTTTTCCTAGCCCTTGCAAGCTTCCTGTGCGCTCACCTGTCTTCTAGATGGATTACAAGCCCCTTGAGGGCATGCCTGTGCCTCCCTGGTGATCCTTGCTGTGCCTGGCACAGTGTTGCTTAGCATGAATCAACTGACTAATGAGGGGCAGACGGGTGAGAATTTTAAACAGTTTAAAAAATTTTTAAAAAATTTTATCCTTTAATGCAATTTTTAAAGGTTATGTTCCATGTACAGTTATTACAAAATATTGGCTATATTCCCTGTGTTGTACAGTACATCCTTGTAGCCTAATAGTTTGTACCTTCCACTCCCCTACCCTTATATCCCCCCACCCCCACCCTGCCACTGGTAACCACTAGTTTGTTCTATCTGTGAGTCTGCTTCTTTTTTTGTCATGTTCACTTGTTTGTTGTATTTTTCAGATTTCACATATAAGTGATATACAGTATTTGTCTTTCCCTGTCTGACTTATTTCACTTAGCATAATGCCCTTGACAGTTTTAATAATAATTTCTGCCTCATAGTGTGGTTGTGAGATCAGATGAGTTAGTTCACTGAAAACACTTTGAACAGTGCCTGGCACATAGTAAGTGCTCAATAAATGTTAGCAATTATTCTTATTGCTATTATTATAATTATTACTGGTGGTGGCGGTGGTGGTGATGCATCCCGCGGCATGTGGGATCTTCCCGGACCACGGCTCGAACCCATGTGCCCTGCATTGGCAGATGGATTCTTAACCACTGCGTCACCAGGGAAGTCCTAACCTGCATCCCTCTTGCTGCAACTTTAGTTTA